CATGAAAATTCTGTTTACAGTAATATACTTACGGTAGAAGTCTATGGGGCCAGGTTTCAAATGTTAAAATATACATTGTATACATAAACACATATATAAAATATACAGAATATACACAAAAATGTAACTTTACAATTACTTTTAGCGTGATAAAATTGCTTACTAACCTTGTCTGTACGCAGTTATATCCAATATTTAATGACTATGTACAACCACTGATCCCGGTAACATTCAAATTATATGTGTAAGGGTATGGAATATGACGAATTTGAAAATACAGAATAATTTGTAAGTACTTTTACAAAAATATGACCTCCACATTTTGCTTTTAAACCCTCCTGAATTGTCCCATAGACTTCTATTGTAAGTGTATTGCTGTAAATGCAATTTTTTTTTTTTTTTTTACAAACTGAAGGACAGTCTAATTTTTTTTTGGTGATACTTCACAGCATCTCTTTATAAGAGTCTAATTTGTTTTGAACCTGGAACATTCCTTTAAAATAGTGACTGAATCCTGTTTCATATTGGATTTGCTGTATTGTTTAACCGATCACTGTTTACTGTAAGGAAGCTGAGATAAATGGCCTGTGAGAACTGAATACTACATCACACAGCTTTGTAAACCAACCCTCTCACTCAAATCCATACTGCTAGCATTAATTATTCATCTCCATTTAATTAGGTTTCTTAGGAACTACTTATCTTCACTATACATTAAGTGCTTTCTAATCTCGTTCTCAAGGGCATTGCATACAGCACTCCTGCAAGACGTGTGCGAGTAACACACATAAATTGCGTTTGCATTCAGTATGTTTCCTGACTCACAAGGGAGAAACACAAGAAAGCTGTACTCTGTTCTGGGGAAAAGGGATTGAATCACAGCTGGAGATATTTGTAATCATCGCTGATAAGAGCAACATTTAGCAATTCATTGTGTGGAGACTGACACATTAAGCGTCGAGTTAAACTCTCTAATTGAACTGAGAGTTTGATGACACACATCAGAGAGCAGACAAAATGGGCGGCCTCTGGGGACTGGATGGTGATTGGCCCAAATGTAGCAATTTCCGTCCAGGAGAGCTGCATGGAGTGGAGTATATGGACACAAAGGCTGCAATTCTGTTGCCAACCACTGGAGGGGCAAAAAAAGCACCACACAGCAGTATAGAAAAACGAGTGCAGAGTCTGTCCAAAGACTACTGGATGAATCACACACAAACATGTCCAGGTCAGATTTTACAATGAAGCCAAAAGAAAAAATAAGGAATTATATTTTGTATACAGAAAATTAACTGTTTTTAGGACCATTAGCATTGTTTGGATTGGCATTTTCAAAACAATTAAGCACTTTTTTTACCCTGTAGTTCTTATTACTTTTAAACCCCTTATTTTACTTCCCCACCATTATTCTCAACTATAAATAGTTTTTAAAGCTTTTTTTTATTGTTGTATTATATGAAATATATATTAATTTTTTTTAAATGTATATTAATTAGATGTTTTATAATAAAAAACATATGAATAACATGAAAGTTACCGTAATAGCAGTAATTCTGTTAAAATAATCGTATTGCCTTTATGCTTATGTTTAATTTATATGCCACTAAAGTGCTTTTCATAATATAAAATAATTTGTGTGAAGAACAATTACTGTAATACATGCCACATTTTTATTGAAATTCCCATTATTTTAATATAAATAGCTTTAGTTTAAATATAATAGTTTTGATCATGAATATTTAAATATATAGATATTTAAATAAAATAATTAGTGTGAAGATTATAAATACCTTAAAAAATACTGTAATACATCCCATGTTTTAGTTTTACAGTAATTCCTATTATTCTCAATAACATGAATATATATATATATATATACACACACACAGTGTGTATATGTATA